CACTGGGCTACTCTTGCACGCGATAGGGAAAAATGGAAGAGTTGCTGGTACCCGCTCGAGTCACTCGACGATCAACGGGACGACAGTGTAGGTGAATACATTATAGTTCTTAGAATGTACGAATAGGCTAACCTGGATCAAATCTATATCATCGTCATCTAATTCATCCTCTTCATCCTCCAGTTTTTCAGACTTTTCAGATTTGTCATCGTCAACTTCCTGAAGCAATGACGCCATTAGAGTGAGGTGTAAAAAAATGACACGGAAATGGAAATTAGTTGGAAAAAGGCATTGAAAAATTATTACATTGGAAAAAACTTATTACTTCTTCTTCCTCATCGGCAATAAATCCCTTCATTTCTTCTGCACCCTCCTCGTCATCGTCCTCTTCATCATCTTCGTCACTGAAATATGAGCTGTTCTTAGTATTGGGCTGGCAAGAAAATTTTCTGCTACTTCGTTTTGTTGATTATTTTTCAAGCGTTTGAGCTTTTTTTCCTACTATCGCTTAGAGTAGCTTCCTGCGATAAAATGATATATAGAACTTTTATTTGTTTCAAGATGGAATTGTCCCGAAAGCAAAAACTATGGTAGATGCTGTACGAGTATCGTTTGAGTTTAAAAGCTGCTTGGCACGAAATGATCTTCGTGTATCATCAATAATCGGTTCTACTATCGGAACATTTTCATCTTAAGACAAACGTATAAGCGTTTTATATAAAAATAACCGCAAGGAGTTGCTCTAAACAACAGTAAGAACAAAAACTTAAATGCATGAAAAATAATTAAACGAAGACGAAAAAGTCGAGAAAATTTCTTGCCAACCCAATGCCATACGATAAAAATCGACGCGATAACTCCATAGAACGGCAACGTAACTACTAAATGATACTGCGAACCTTAGAAACCTGCTTACTAGAAGAAATGCGAACTATGTCGCGCTCTTTCAGACTAGAAAATCAGTGTGATACCAAGGAACATACTCGCTTTCAACGACACGCTTGCTCTTCTTCTTTTCCTTCTGAAGTTTCCTCTTCTTTGCTTTTGGTTGATCTGATTCTGTGGATGAGATTGACGACGTCTCCTCACCATCCGACTCTTCCGCTTGACGCTCAATGAAATCCATAATTCGGCCTGCAAATCATGACAACATAGAAGAACAGAGTTCTCAACTTCGTACAATAGATTAGAACGAGAAAAACGAAAACAAGAGTAGAAAAGGAAGCTTAACGTAACGAATTCGATCGAAGGAATAACTAACTGGCAGTATTAAAAAGTCTCAATAAAGCTAGAAAATAAAAAAATGGCTTTTTTTTCGGTTATCCGGGGAAAACTGAATATTCGACCCCATTCGCTGGAGCAGAATTTTTCTTAAGAATGTTCGTAAATCATTCAAAGCTTAAATCTATTGTTACAGCCCGAGGGTATTTTTTTCAAAACACCCATTTCCAGCGCTGTAAAATCCAGAATAAAACTATTTTTCACACCCGCCGCGGGCCTTCATTTTCATCAGGCGTATAAATCGCTGGAAGCTCGAAAAGCATATGAACGTGAGAGAAGATCTCGTAGTATGCAAACCAATCGTTTTATCTGGAGTTTCTTTGAAATATCAAATAGAAAAAAAAACTCCCAATTGAATACAAATTGGACCCCATATGCCCGACGTGTCAGGCAATCGATTGGTCGCCCTTTTCCAGCTCGTAGAACAGTCGGTAAACAAGCTCGCCAAGTATGTAAAATTCGATCTCGTTTTCCCTGGTACACTGCAGAAAAACGGTCTTTAAACAAAATAAGGATAGTGTTGGAATTGTTGAATCTTACGCTATTGAATGATCACTAATAGTCCGAGAGAAAGAGCTCTCTCCAGAGAGATGTGGAGCACAAGTCTTCTCTTTTCACCTACAGCGCTACCAAAAGAGCTTTTCCAAAAAGCGAAGAGATTTCTGAGTTCCTCGAGAATTATGTTGTCAAAAGAGAGTTAGCAGTCTGAGGAAGTAGTTTCGTACAGCGAAATATACGCGAGATAGACAGAAGAACGCGTGGTGCATGAGAAACATAATTTTATTCTGGATGCTACAGCACAATAAAAAATACTTATTTGAAAAAAGGCCAAGTGCTGTAGTCTGAAATTTAAGCCTTCGATTGATTATGAATACTCCTACGGAGAAATCTTGTCCAGCGAATGAGGTTGAATATTCATTTGTCCCCGGATAACCAAAAATTCATGTGAAAAAAAAACTGTAGAACAAAGAAAAAATTCCAGCGCTAATCAATCTCTAAGGAATGCGCCATGTAATCTCCTTCGCCTAGCAACGTTTGAGATGATTAAGGCTTATCTGGCCTCTACAACGACTCGTGGTGGCCTCCCGCTGTATCGACTCACTGTTGCTATTCTCTAAAACAACTCTGGTCTCCCAACCCCGAAGAAATGGAAGGCTTAGATAAGGCGTGAGGGGCGGGATCGAACCATCGGCTGACTAATCAGTATGTCGCAGAGCACATCTAACCACTGCGCAAAACGCGCTCGTGCCTAATGCATGCAGGAAAAAATTGAGTATTTATAAGTCAGACGGCGGCAAATTTTTGAGCCGATCTCATGTGCAGGACAGAAACGTTTAATAGGAGTGTCAATGATCGTTCAAAAGCTTAAATCTCCGGTTGCAACTCCACGCCGACGGTTTTCCAAAGCACCCCTTTATAACGCTTTGGCATCCAGAATATAATTTCGTTTCTCACTCGCATTCGGTCTTCATTTTTACCACAAGTATAAATCGCCGGAAGCACGAAAAGCATATTAACTTGTAGAGAGTTTTCCGTACCATCGGAATCCTCGTACTTATCCGAAGTTTCTATCGATAGGGTGAAAAGAAATCCCCAATTGAATGACAATATTTCAAACGTCATCGATCGCCCCGCCTCCCCCCCCCCTAACCCTTCCTTCCCCGCTTCGTGAGTTGGCCGGTAAAGAGATTGCCGAAAAGGTTCATAACTGAGTGAAATGTGAAGGGAAGTCATACCACTTGTTAGTAAGGTAATCGCCCGATTTACCGCGTAACTCGATAGTGATCTACCACACTATATGTTAGAACGGCGGTAACTATTATTATTTTACTAAGGATTTTTTCACCGCCTCGACAGAAATTCGAGATAGAAACGCATGATTCTCATAAAGGACAAGAGATAAAGCTCTTGGCGTTGATCAACACCCGAGGGATGCGCTATGCATTCGTCTTCAATTTTCAACTTCGTTTGAGGTGATTGAATGCATATCTGGCCTTTACAATGACTCGCAGTGGCCTCCCGCTGAACCGAGTCACTGCTGCTTATCCTCCCAGACAAGTCTGAGACCTGTCTGGTACCAACTTACCGGCCCCGGAGGGATGGATGGCTTGGCTGAGACACGAGCGCGAGATCGAACCATTGACCTAGTGTGCGACGCAGAGCACTTCTAACCACTGCGCCACGTGCGCTCAATGATTCTCATACTGGCGAAGATTCTCTATGAGCTGATATGCCGTTCGTGCTTCCAGCGACTCATACTCGTGTCAAAATTAGGGCCAAATGCGAGTGAGAAACAAACTTTGATTCAGGATGCCATAGCGTGAAACATAATTTTATTTAGGATTTTACAGAGTTATAAAAGGGTGTACTAAAAAATCGATCACGTAGGGCTCTAGTCAGAGATTGAAGCCTTCGAATGATTACTAGCGCTTCTAAAAAAAGTTCCACCTCAGCGAATGGGGTCGGCTCAGAAATTTACAGCCGTCTAACATACAAGAACCAAAACTGGACTAACCAACCTTGAGAAAATGGAACAGAAGGCCGGAAAGACTATGGAATGAACGCCCAGCGACAGAACTGTGGAGGCGCTCTGACCGCTAGCCAAACGTGACGCAATATTGCGGACATAGCGTGAGATATATTGTTTGCCATGGCCCAACAAGGATGTTGAGTGACGCGCAACGGTTTGGACCGCAGAAGGGAGTTTGATCCAGACTTCTAGAGCAGGAAGAGCGCTAGCAGGACAGTAGCTTCACTAGTGCAGTGGTTAGCACGCGCCTGCGGAAACAGGGAAGTTCGGGTTCGGTTTCCGCCCCATGCGCAAGGCTTTGTATATCACTCAGAGTTCTTTTTATTTGCCACTTGCAGTGGTATGATGTTTTGGTATACCCAATAACGTGGAGTGCTCTGCAGAAACATTTGCATCAGCCGGGATTCGAATCCAGATCTCACTGTTTCCGGGAGCACATGCTGACCGTTGCACCACGTTATTAGTATACGTTGGTGGTGCAACGGTTAACATGCGCTCCCGGAACGAGTGAGATCTGGGTTCGGATCCCGGCTGACGCAAATGTTTTTGCACAGCACTCTATTTTATTGGGCTTTGTATATCATTCGACATTTTTGATACAGTGTTATAATATCATAACAATGCTACTAAAGTGATAGAATAATAAATTCTTGTGGTCTCCCCAGTGATGTACAAAACCTTTGCGTCGTGCGCGACTCGAACCCGCATCTAACTCTATCCGGGAGTGCGTGTTCTACTAACCCGTTGCACTACTGGCGCCCGTTTTGCAGGACATAATTTTGATCATCTTATACCCAACATTTGCCAGTATCAGTAGGTTCAGGACGATAGCGACTACCTGGATCAGGCCATTGACGGCTGGTCACTGACAGATAGGTGAGCTGTAGCGTAGAAAGAGTGGTGTCAGAAAACGTGCGCCAGTAGTGCAACGGCTTAGAGTGCTACTGATACTGGATAAAATGAGATGCGGGTTCGACTCCCGCTGCTGCGAAAATTTTGCACGTTACTCTACATCGCTGGATATATCTACAACATCATACCATCGTTAATAGTGGTTAATTAGATAATTCTTGTAATTCATATCAATGACAAGCGAATTGTTCTGTGTGATGGCACTGAGAGGATGTCTGTAATATCACAGAGTCGTGGAAAAGTTATATGTGACCTGAGAAAGAGTGATAGCTTAGTAGCGTCGGTAGTGCAACTGGTTAGCATGAGACCTCGGAGGAGGTGAATCGCACTGGTTCGATTCCCGTCTGAGGTTCAGTGTCTTGAACAACACTTAACATTATCGGGTATACCTAAGTTTCAACTGGTTATCCATCTGCGCACGGCACCATTTTCGGCTGGCGGGCGGTCCAGACGGCTGTGAAAAGAGCCGCCAAAATGCGCTCCAAGAAAATGTGGTAGTTCTCTAATGAAAAATATACTCTTTTCGTCAACATATGAGATTTCTATGCCAATAAATGATCAGATATGCTAAAATAGACCTTAATAAGGTTATTTTTCTTAAAAATAACGTAATTGCTCTGTTCATAATCCACACTTTTAAAGAAAAAAAAACCCAGTTTTCATGAAAAGGCTATATTAAGAAGCTTTATGGAACATTTCTTCGATATGCCATTTATACTTATCTGAAATTTGATTAAGTTTATCCTCTATTTCTTACATCTTTCCGTGTACTTTATTCCATGAAGTGTATAAAATTAACTATACTGGCTGAAAATTGGAGAACATTGAGCCGTTCGTCAAAAATAGTGCTGCTTGTTGCATGCGACCCCACTTTGTCGATAATACTTGAAAAATTTTTGATTAGTGAAGTTCAGATTCACATTTCTCAGATCAACGCAAAATTTCGTTGAAACTCTCTAGTCATAGCTATGTTATACGAAGAAGAGATAGGAGGTATAGCGGTTCTTTCTCATTCACTCCACCCTGTGTTGACGCCCTTTGGTGGATACGTAAAAAACGTTTTGGTAGTCAATCAATAGCTAGAAGAAATGATTTAAACGATATATTTCAATCCTTGTCAATCTCAACAACCACTCTGTCTCACTTTCATCGATCTGAAGAAAGCCTTTGATTCAGTGGAAACAGAAGCGGTTATAGAGGCTCTGGATAATCAGGGCGTCCCTACTCGGTACACATTGATCCTTCGTGAGTTTCATAAAGATTCAACAACCAAAATATCTCCATTCTACAACAATGTCACCATTGACGTAAGAAGAGGGGTCCGACAAGGCGATGAAATTTTGCCAAAACTATTCACTGCCACCCTACAAAACGTAATGCGAACATATAGAATGGGACGATATGGGAGTGAAAATTGATGGTCGACAATTAAACCATCTTCGCTTTGCGGATGATATCGTCCTCATAACACCAAGCATCACTCAAGGTGAACGAATATTGACCGATTTCGACAGACGCCTGTGCAAAGATTGGTCTTAAACCTAATCTAACGAAAACGATGTTTACGAGGAACAGATGGCTTCTGAATGCCCCATTCTTGCTCAACGGAACGGCAATCTTCAAATTCCCCAGTTACCTCAAACGGTCTGTTTTCTTCGCTGTAACAATCGAAAAACTATATTTTGTTCCATATTCAAGCATTTCTCGCTGGCTAAAGCTTCTTTCATGAGCAATTGATAATCGCATCAGGTAGGGAGAGTTTTAGTGATTTCAACGGTGTACTTGAATTTGATAAAGGACTTCTCAGAGTGCTGCAACGCGGTCAAAAGAAGATTGGATTCCGCAAATTTGCATAATTTTATGTCCGCATCCTGTTTTGCGCATCTCTTAGGGAAAAACGCGTTTCCTGATTTTGTCAAAGTTATCAGTAACTATTCGGTAGCTTAACTTGGAAATTTCGATGATAAGCTTCATTCTTAAATGCCCTTCTCAATGCGCTCTAACAATGAAAAATATTACTTTCAAGCATTTCTCACTGCAGTTAGCTTTTCCGCTGGACTTCTAATAATTTTTCGATAGCTCAAATCTTGACGATTTCATAACTTCGCTTTGAAAGAACGCTGTTAATGTAGCACTCGAAAAAAGATTACGTTTTGCAGTCAGCTGACTTGTTGCTAAAGGCACGGTGACTTGAGGCCGGTTTCGCGAAATCCCACCTTTGAAGTGCGAAACCCAATCTTCTTTTGACTACCACAGCTTACTAAGGAGTCCTCTCTAAACGTCCTTGAAATCTCTGAGATCTGCACTATCGAATGATTCTTAGTCGTTCATAGAAAAAACTTTATGCAGCGAGAAATCCTCAAATGTGAAATAAAGTTCTATTTCGATTGAAGCAGCGCAAAAAATAAGCCATTTGAAAAGCAAAATACAGCATTCAGACTCACCTGATTCCAGCTATCGAATGAATAGTATTACTTTAGCGGAATTAATCTTCTGTAGAAAAAAAACAAATGCTCACGAGCGCAATTCTTGAAATATGCTTGCATGAGACAGAAGTTATTTCCAGAAGTGGAGATTTTCAAGACAGCTGAGTGTTATTCTCCCTATTAATACGTTCACAAAAGCATTTTTCAATAATAATTTGAGTTAATTTCAGCATAGAGTCTATAAGAATCGAAACGTACTATATTATCCTAAAAAAACCGCTTTCAATTAGAAAAATTGGATTGCGATTGCAAAACGTTCCTTTTATTTTCCATTAGGAAGTACTGTGGGCTTATTTTCAAACAACAGGCTTAGTATTAGAGTCAAATTTTCTCATGCTATCTATTGAGCACAAAAACATCGACAAGATATAAGAAAATGCCCACGACACACGGTTTAATAATCTTTTCCGCAAACAAATGGCTTTTTTTTTGAAAGGACAAAATTTTGAGTTGCATTAGCGATAATTTTGCCAAAATCATTCATACCGGAAGTTTTATAAGTGATGTTTCATCGTTTTTTTGATCATACTGCTTCTTCTGAGAGCTTTATTAATCCGAAGTTCTCTGGAAGGCGCGCCACTCTTCTCTAGGTCGTCCGAGCGGTGCGGCCAGCTGAGGGTCATATTGACCCTCATCGTCTGCATAGGGTTTTATAGACCTCGCTCAAATCAATAACAGTCTAATAACACTTCTTCTGAGTCTTTTATGAAGTCTGATATGGCACTTATACAGTGCTAAACACGTGTTTCGGCATTACAGCTTCATCGGTGGAACGGTGCCGTTCGGTTCGGTCCATCCCTTGCAAGTGATCTATCCCCTACTTATGAGAGATTCGACGGCGAATTATTTGAATTATTGTTATAATTATTGTTATGGAGGCTATCGATGCCGAGTCATTTTGAAAGATATTATCAGATTATCAGATTATTACATTTATATTCGACTGCTTTTCAGACCTCGCTCAAGAGCAATAATAATTTGATAATATACATTTTTGAGCTTTCCATGAGGTCTTTTATAACTAGTTTACACTGTAATACACGTGTTTCGATCTTGTAGCTTCGTCAGTTGTACAGTACGTTTCTCGAAGCCAATTCCTTTCGAGGAAGAACCCCCTTACGTACCGGAATAGTCGACGAACATGTTACGCGAACATGTTACAACAGTCAAATATGAAGTATAACGAAACAAACCAGCTTTCAGCAATCGACAGTTAATCACTGCAATGTCTGGTGACCATGCCACGCACATGCAGTGATACGTTATCTCTGAAATGTATGAAATAAACTTTCACTTTACACGTGCGCACTGCAACATGTTCGTCAAAAATTCCTTTACGTAAGGGGGTTCTCCTCCGAAACAAACTGGCTGCACTGTGCGACTGACGAAGCTGCAAGACCGAAACACGTGTTTTGCACTGTAACGCCCGTAACAGCCCACATGCGTGACTAAAAGAACATTACCAGATTATTGCTGTTCTTGAGCAAGGTCTACCAACACAGGCGAAAATAGAGGTATGATTCATTCTAAAGGCCATGAGCAGCTCCACTGTGGTCACTGCAATGCCGGAGGATTCTGTCACTCGACATGCAGTGGTTCAAATAATTCGGGGTCGATTACTTTATATATAGGGTATATCCCTCAAGAGGGATTAGTTGAAGCAAAAGGCCCCGGGCTACTGATCAACCTGTAATGGCGAAACGTGTCTAGCACTGTATAACTACCATATCAGGCCTCAAAAAGGGATCATAAAGTGCTATCAAATTATTGGGTATATACTTGTAACATCGCGCTACTGCTAAATGCTGTTAAATATAAAGAAATTTTGAAGATAATACATATGTGACTTTGTCGAACATGCTCACGATGAATTACCCAGTCCATCCGAGAAAAGTTGTGATCGTTGGGAAGATTTTTTGAAGAAATCACGTGAACGATTATATGTCGTTTTTATCTTATTCTCTTCTTGTTTTTCTTTTCTTTACTATATCAGCTCTGCTACGTGTTTCTCGTTGTTCGCCAGTCAGAGAGGCAAATCGTAATAGTATTGCATTGCAACCATTTCTCTCTTTCATTTCACCGAAGAACCTTGACAACATGAAGTCAGCTGTATTCAGTTTTCACATCACTTTTAACCCTTTTAAGACGATAGACCCAACGTCCCTGCGTCTATAACCTATCAACGTGTTGCGTCTAACAATGGCGTTTAATGGCGTCGGCCACTGTCAGACGTAGTACGTTGAAGGTTAGGGACGCAGAGGCCGTTGATCCACGGTCCCTTAAAAGTTGACGTCGTTACTGTAGGTATTATTACAGTAAGGAAAATGTTTATATTGATGTTGGCCACAGAAGAATGGGGAAAGAATTGTTGATTAATTGACTGCAGCTTAACAGCTCTCCACTGTAGCAACAGGAAACTGTAGAACCCTTGGTTAGCGCCTTTCTGGAATAACCCTACATGAGTTTAGTTCTGCACGTGCGTTTATAAAAAGCTTATTGAGAGATTATAAACGAGTAACATCTAGAAAGAGAGAGTTACACCCGTGGAAGAGTTCCACGCGGTAAGAAGACCTTTTCCAAATGGTTAACCTAATATGACGCTACCATAAGTAGATTTTGTTTCGCGAACGCTTCGGTGCCCTAGCATTCTTCAAATCCAAATTGATCTGAGTCGATTGTCCCCACTCGAGCAAATCAGTGGAAACATTGCTCAAGCGATCTACATCGAAGAAAGAACGAGTAGCAGAGCGGTAACCCCAGTGGTGTAGTGGTACCATGCGTCCTCGGTGGTGAAGCGCAGATTAACTCTTACCTGAGGCCCAAAGTTTTGCATATCGTTCAGCACCCTTGCGTACTTCTGTTTCAT